GGGGGGGGTCGTGACTTACAGGTTCCTGAGCGTCCCCTGTCTCCATAAAAGACGATCTCATGTAAGGGAAAATAGCTATTTGCATAAACCAAACCTCTGAGAAGAAATAAAACCCATCCCTCCCCTTTCCATCAAAATAATAAAACACGTGAAACAAAGAAGTCGCTGGGGCACAGAACACTTTGTCGTATGTCAATGTCAATTTGTTCAACGTTCTGTGTTCATTAGAAAAACGATATCATTACCTCTCCCTTCTCCGCGATCTAAGCCCGAAACTCCTTAGGTCTTGGGAGCTTCTTAAATATTTTTGCTGAAAAACTGTCTGGGATGTCTGCTGTCCGAAGATCAAATTACAATAATAGTTTGCAATTCCGCAAGGAGTCGGGCAATTGAATCGATATCAGGCAATAAAAAAGTTTCCAAAAACCTTCTTTTTTTTTTTCAAGGACTCGTTTATTGGTTTAGACACAAGGAAGTCTGCGTGGATGATACAGTTGGTTAAGAATTGGGCCCAGTCGTAGAACATCAGGGCTAGTTTCCTTGTTGGGCCCGAATGCTCCCCGTCTTTCCTCCATTAGTGTTCTCTCCCCTGTTTTCTTGCAGGGGACTAAGCGCTGCTCAACCTTGAAAATGGCGTGCAATGTGTCAAGTTGGGCGTTAACTTTGGTAACGGCAATAACATTAATACTCACAGCGTTGAGAATTGATGCTATTTACGCGTACCAGAGCAGAATTACTGGAGAAAGTCTCGTGTGGGCCGAGTAAATTACTCGTATAAAGCGAAGTAATACTGACTTTGTGTTTTTCCATGTGGGAGGAGGTTGATGGTTGTTTGTTTGGTGTGGGGTTGGTTGTTGTTTTTTTTGGGGGGGGGTCTTCACAATGTGAAGGGGACTGGGTTCGGAGGGAAAGGGTGGAAGAGTGTGTCGTTCTTTTTCTTCTTTTCTCATTTGTCTAAAGCCGTGTCTGTTTAAGCAGAGCATTTTGAAGCAGTTACAATCAGTTTGCGCTAGGAAACGGCAAAGCTAGGTGACTGTAGAAACCAGTGGGGTTATACAGAAGGAAGTGAGCGGGACCGCGCAAGGATGGTGCCCGCCTTCCTCACCCCACCCCAGCCCCTCCGCTTCCTCACACCCTCCTATTCTTCACCCCCCCCCCCCCTCTTCCCCTTCCTCACCCCACCCCGTTCCCCGACCAAGCACATGCCACAATACACTCATAGAGAACGCTCATCAATTAACTCATTTATTAAATGAAGGAAAATTATATGAATCATCATGGATAATCGGAGAATGGCATGCCAATGTAAACATTTCGAAGGGCTCACGTTTATTTTCCAAATTTTGGTTTTCTGAATAGACCGCGAGCAAAGCCTTAATCATGCCGAGACAAACGTTATCTTTTGATCTCAATATTGTCCTGGCTAGAATAGGGGGAATAATGTTCTTTTTTTAAATTATTGATCACGACTATAAAATATTACCTGTGCATTTAAGATCTTTACACGTTGCTGATACCATGGAATTTATAACTTTGCTCTTTTCGTCCTGTGTTGCAGCTCAGCATCAAGGTTAGGGGGCAGTTTCAACGCGTTACTCAATGACTGGCCTCAGTATATGACGACGTTCACGCATGATATATCCCTTTCCTTGAGAAATGACCAATTTTAATACCAAAGCTATTGGGTCAAACCGCTATCACATAAAAACCTTCACATTTTTTAGAACAAAAATAACATTTCTTTAAGCCATAGTAACTAATTAATTGTGATGAACAGTCGCACCACGCATTGCTTGCAGACAGAGACCTAAACTATTCAAATATGTAGAGGAAATATAATTAACAGACAAGTAAATGTATGCTTAAATATGCAAGTGTATGATAATGTATTGTGTTGTATAGTCGCTAACTGTTTGCTGTCTTCTCTTCGCCTGGTCATTTTCTTTGCCTTTTAAAGTGATCTACCTTTGTCTAGTAGTACATGAAATAATGTATATTAATTCCAAACTGAAACTTAACTCTCTCTCCTCAGGTGAACTTTGTCTTTTTCCTCAACATTGTGCGCGTGCTTTTTACCAAACTCAACGCCGTCAACTCACCCGAGGCAAAGAAATTCAGGTACAGGTGAGAATTTGCTTTTTACTTTTCCCTTCCCAAAGCTGTTGTACCTCCTTATCATTAATTTACGTCGTTGACTGTAAGTCCAGACAAAGCAATTTTAGGGAGGGGGAGGCTAGATCTACACCCCCAACCTCTTCTACAACCATTCCATTGTATAAGAATCCCCCCAAAACTTATTTCTTCCCATACCGGGCATGTTTGTCACCGCCATTTCCTCATAAAGTCAATATTTTATTTTTCTTTATCGGCCGTTTTCTCAAAACGTGATTTTTCTCTAGAATTTTTTGAATAACTCAACCTTCATTTTTTTATTCAATCTTCATGAAATTTTCACAGAATGAAGAGAAGATGTAGTACAAAAATGTTTTTGGGTGAATTTTTTATAAGTGGAATAGATTTTGGTTGGTGGTGTCTGGAGTGTTGATTTTCACGGATTTTTTGCAAATTTGGATACTACCTCAGGAAAAAATTCATTAAAAATTGTTTCATTCATTTAAGAAATAACCAACGGACACATTTTTAGATCTAATGTTTGCTAACGTGCAAGCAAAAAAACAATCAATTTCCATTTAAAAAATAAGTGCGATATTCTTTACGTAAGACATGTCAACAAAATCCAATATGGCCACCGTATCCATGGAAACGAAACTTTCTTCTCAAATTTGATTGGCGATATTAAAACTCCTTACTATGCTTGTTATATGTCTAAAATCTGGTGAAATTTGGTCCATCAATAAGCGAGACAGCCTTCAGGTGTAG